GAATCCAAGAGATGCTTCCCTGTGTTGATAGAGAGGCTTTGTGTGCTAGGTGTCCTGTAGGGCCCAGTGGCTCAGTCTCCCTAGTTACCTGAGGTGGACACTCTTGGTGCACCTCCTTGTGGGCTTTGTGCACAGTCTTGTTGTAGCTATGCCTTGGTTGCTGTAGGATCACTGGGAGGAATTGACCTCCCGGCCAATTGGCAGTGAGAATCAGCTGTGTCTGCAGTGGGAAAACTTCTGTGCTGGATCTCTACGGTGGTGCTAATCTAGCATTTGCCTCAGGCTATCCGGCAAATGGCTCTGCACAGGGCTTGGGCGGGGCGGGTCCCTGGGGATCTACAGGGCAGGCGGAGCGAGCAGTTATGACTGCTGTCAGTTCCGTCCCTAGGGACTCTGCCTCACAGAGTACCAGCAACCGCTGCAAAGCTCGGAGAGAAAGCTGCCCTCGAGTTCCGACCGAGGCCAGACAGCCCCGTTTCTCCCGTTCCACTCAGCCAGCCCTCCTGTGGTTATGGATGGTGTCCGTTCCGTGTTTCAGGCGTAATTTGAATTGGTTGTTCGAAGCAGCAATCTCCAGCGTTAACCTATGCTGCCATCTTGGTTCCCATATAAATATTATTGTTAATAGTAAGACTTACCTCAAAGAATAAGCAAGAGGCTTAATTATCTTAAATGTAAATACAAATGAGAAAACATTTTTCAAAAATCACCTTAGTGAATGATTTTCTTTATTGTGATAAAATATACAAAAAATTTACAATTTTAACAGTTTTAAGATGTACATTTCAGTGGTATTAAGAGCATTCACAATTTTTTAAATATATTTTTATTGATTTCAGAGAGGAAGGAAGAAGGAGAGAGAGAGAAAAACATCAATGATGAGAGCGAATAATTCATTGGCTGCCTCCTGCATGCCACACTGGGGATCAAGCCCAAAACCCAGGCATGTGCCCTCGACCAGAATCAAACCCGGGACCCTTCAGTCCACAGGCTGATGCTCTATCCACTGAGCCAAACCTGCTAGGGCCATTTACAAATTTTGATGAGAGCATCATTGATCAGCTGCCTCCTGCGTGCCTCCTGGGGATTGAGCCCACAACCCTGGTTGAACTCTGGTTAATAGATCGATGCTCAACCATTGAGACACACTGGCTGGGCTCCAGAATTTTTTAATTATTCCAAACAAACTTTGTACCCATTAAACACTGACACTCCATTTCTTCCTCTCCTAGGCCCTAGCAACTTCTAGTCCACTTTCCATGTCCATGAATTTAGTGTCTCTTAGTACTTCATATAAGTGTAATCATACAATACTTGTACTTTGTGTCTGGCTTATTTCACTTAGTATCATGTCTTCAAGGTTCATTCATGCTGTAGCAAATTTTAGAACTTCATCCCTTTTTATTTTTTCAAAAATATATTTTATTGATTTCAGAGAGGAAGGGAGAGAGAGAGAGAGATAGAAACATCAGTGATGCGAGAGAATCATTATTTTTCTGTCTCCTGCACTCCCCCTACTACTAGGGATTGAGCCCACAACCCAGGCATGTGCCCTTGACTGGAATCGAACCTGGGACTCTTCAGTCCACAGGCCGATGCTCTATCCACTGAGCCAAACCGGCTATGGGTCTTCATCCCTTTTTAAAAGTGACTAATATTTTATTGTATGTATGTATACTACCTTCTTTTTATCCATTAATCTGTTGTTGGACATAGTAGACTCTTAACTGATGAGAATCATGATAAAAAAAATTACATTTGAGGAGGACGACTCTGACAGCTCTGTTTTTCCAAATCAGATCTCAGGATATATGATCTATTTTTTTCAAATTCATCAATTTAAGTATTTGAACAGTTTCAGGAAGTTATAAAAAATAAATGCAACTTTATAGTTAATTAATCAGTAGTGCTGTAAGAAGAAAAGTATATGCCATGGAGATGCTTAGAAAATCCAAAGTTGCAGATTTTGTTAATGAGAGGGAGGGGTCATGAGTCTTGTTCTCAAGCTTCAGCAAAGGAAATAAAGCCAAAGTCAATTTCCAGGGGCTTGTATGTCTGTTTGTTTTCTTGGTGGTTTTTTGTTTTTTCTCTCCCAAATCCAAGAACTGCCAAGTCACACCCCTGCACAAGACTTTGCTTCCTAACAAACACCGGACAGTTCCTCACATCGAGTAGCTGAGATGGAGCTGCTGGGAGTCACGACTCCTGTTTTTATTATTTTTGTCATTTGCCTGGTTTTCCTTTGGGTGTGGAAAGAAGGTCGCAAATGGGGACGGCTACCACCGGGCCCAGCTCCCCTGCCCATCATTGGGAATCTGATGCAGCTAAACCTGAAGGACATCCCTGCATCTCTCAGCAAGGTAAGGGGGTTTCATTCTGGGGCTGGCCATCTTCACCTTCCAGCTCTGCACCTGAGACCATTGCAGGCTGGCTCTCCTCCCTCAATCTTCCTTTTTTAAAACAAATATATTTTAGTGATTTTATACAGAGAGGAAGGGAGAGGGATAGAGAGCTAGAAACATCAATGAGAGAGAAACAACGATCAGCTGCCTCCTGCAGACCCCACCGGGCATGTGCCTGCAACCTTCAGTCTGCAGGCCGACGCTCCATCCACTGAGCCAAACCGGGTAGGGCTTCAGTCTTTCTTAGTTTGACTCACCACCGAGGCACTTTGGGATGTCTACTTCGTATTACAAGACATATCCTCTTTCTTTCTGGACTGGACACTTGCAAGCAGGGAGTGAGGTATGTTGACCAGAAATGTAGGTTGGATTTCAGTGCATAAGAACATTCTGCAATCAGAACTTACTTTAATATAAAGGCTTCCAATCCCTTCAGCATATAACACCAAAAGGCAAGCCCAGCAAATGTAAAAATGTGTCAAATGTCCTATATGATTATTGCTGTTGCGTCTGTTTTACACTAAATGATCTAGAGGAGGTGTCGTGTTCCTCACTCCCCTCCCCTCCCTTAGATGTGGGATCTAAAATACTCAAACTTATAGAAGTAGCGAGCAGAATGGTGTTTAAAAACTATACCCCAATTGGTGGCTGTTTTTTTTATTGTTTAAAGTATTACAAATAGTAGTACATATGTCTCCTTTTCCCCCCATTAACCTCCCCCCGGCCTCCCCCACCCCCTCCACCCACCCAGGCCATCACCACCCCATTGTCTGTGTCCACGGGTTATGCATATATGCATACAAGTTCATTGGTTGATCTCATTATCAAATTTTGTTTCATTATTTCAAACTAAGTTTTCTACATCCTGTAGTGATAGTCACTACAGGAAAAAAAAATGCAACGAAAACA